TTGCTAACTTGCACAGAAGCCCTTTGCCTCCTGTAGTGGCAACGTGTGCAGAAACCCTGTCCGCATTTCGGTGGGGATGCCTGTAAACAAGCTTTTGACCTGTCTTCGGGTCACTTCATTCTGAGATTTACATGCTTGCTTTGGTTTTGGTTTTTTGGCGTGCCGATGCAGCTTTTGTGTGAATTTCTTGACACTTTTCGTCCGGATCTGAATGATTTGAAATCTTCTCTGACGCGCCGTTGTGGTGCCATATCAGCTGATGAACATGCTGGCAGCACGTTAATTTGTCGATACACTTGACCCGAAGCCCTAAATCCTGAACTAAACTCTGAACTGCTTAAACCAGCTGTTCAAACCTTCCTCATCAAGACAACTTCAAGCCAAACTCTTAAAGACCCGAGCGTATGCCCCAGAAATCAAAATTATGCTACCTCAAAACAGTCTGCGATCCTCAAGTCACTTCTGAGTTTAAGCTAAGTTTTCGAAATGTTGAAAAGCCATGGGTTGCCACTGCCTCTGTTGGTGTGGCTCGTGTCTCTGCACACTTTGAAGCATCAGAAGCACAGAATTGATGTTTCTCGCGAAGCAGCTTCGGAGCCAGACGTTGCTGCTGATAATGACGTCGCACGTGGTGCGAAAGTGTGGGCATTGGTTCGTGTAAGCGAGATCCGGATTTATCATGCAATGCTTAAGATCCCTGGAGAAGCAAAGCGTCAGCTGAAGTTCTGGCAGCAGGTGACGGATAAATCTTTGCATGGTGAAGCTTTCCTTTTCGATATTGAAGATGTCTTGCCATTACCTGAACCTGTTGATGTCCAGCAGTTTGGAGAGTCACGTTTTCGATCTTTCGTCGCCCAGCTGGAGATGGAGCAAGGCCCACGACTCTGGACTGCACTGGGCGAGGCCATCAGTGAGAATGTGTGGGCCGGGAGCGAGCCTCCGAAGCTTGTTTTGCGTGCAGCAGAACCTTACATCCGAAAAGTGCTGAACAAGACATGGGGGACCATTCTGCTGCCTCATTTGCCAAGCAAGAAGGGAGAGGGCACATCAGGCCTCACAATGGGTTGGGATTTGCTCGGCGTTTGTCCAGGTGATGTGCCAACCATTCCGGACTATGTTCATTCTTTTCCCGATCACAAAGATTGTTTAGACTTAAGCACATCTGTGTTGGACTCAGCCATTGACATGCTGCAGAGCTATGGGTCGTCTGTTTTGCAAGAAGCGAACATCTTTGACAATGTAGAGTACGATGCAGTTCAACGTTGTGTCGCTGCTTTCCAAGCGTTGCTAGAGGGTCTGGATCCGAGTGCCTTCGCGCGATCAGCGCGAGAGATGACAGGCAAGGGCAACGCTTTCTGGAAGTCTAGCAGAAGGCCTTATCAAGCCGCCTTTTTGGTTAAAGCTGTAACCATGGCAAGCCTGCTGCAGAACTCTTCTTCCATGCATGAAGTGTTGAGGCAGGCAGCGGCGATGATTTTGCCTCAGGTTTTGCATAACCCCTTCAAAAACATGTTGGACACTTGCAAGCTTTGCGTCCCCCATGCCAGCACGATTTCCCGCTGGAAACTGCTGCTTGACGGTGGCTTCATGTTGCTACAGCGTCGTTTAAATGAGAGCCTGCATTCTGGGATTGCCAGCAGCGGCAAAGGTGGTGTTTGCCGGTTCTTGATGGCAGATGCGTCCACACAGCACGGCAGAGAATTTGAGCATATCATGCTGGCCAACATTAGGAAGGCTGACCTCGCACGTTTGTATCGGTCCGTTCGTTCTCTCCTCGACCAGTGGTGTCTAGGCTTCATTCATGCAGGTGATTCGGTGATTCAGATGTGCAGTTAGGGTTAGGGCAGTTAGGGCTAGGGGTCTCGAAAAAGTTTCGGCAGGACGTAGAGACTGACTGAGTGTGTGCGATTGTCCGGTCTTCCTTATAGTCTTGTGGTGGTCCGAGACATGTTCTAGTATGGGAGTCGGAAAGACTTTGTGACATGCGACAACTGAGACTTAGACTACTTGCCTTTATGTTCCGCAGCATCTTCTGCCTGTGAGTCCCAGGAATGCAGTGGACGATGACGACAGCGCGGCTTTGCAAGCCGAGGAGAGCATCATGGCAGATCTGAGCGACAGTATTTCTGAACATCATTTGCCTCTCATGGCGCTCGGGTCGGGGCGCACATCTTTGCAAGACAAGTTCATGTCGGTCATGTATGCCATGATGCTAGAATCGGGGTATTCTGCAGAGGGTCTTCGGGCGTTTGCTCAGGAAGTCTGTTGCGGAACTTTCGATCTCGGGGTTGAATTTTCGCTGAACACGATCATGCCTGCACCTTTTCTTAAACTTTTCCCGTGGTATGTTTCTGATGAACCTGAGCAAGAGAGATTCTGCGGTGGGCATGCTCTGGGAGAAGATGGCTTCGATGTGTTGCCTGAAGCCGAAGAAGCACCGGATGTAGAGATTTCTTTGCAAGGCATGCTGTCCATACCGGGACCATTGCATATCTTGCATAACGCTTCACGTCTATTGCTGACGCAGCTACCATATTTGGGCCAAGCTTTGCCTAAACTGGTTGCGCTTTCCAGGTTCCTCGCAAGCAAGACATACAAGCAACGACTTCTGGAGACATGCTTCGCAACTCCAGTCAGCAGAACTTTCGCTCCCGACTTCAACAGGTTTCACGCAAAAGTCAATGAAGGCAGGTGGGGTTCAGTGGCATTCGCCATACCAGAGATACTCCATTTGCAAGTGCCACTTCGGCGCTATTGGAATTTGCGTGCTTTCAATCACTTTTCAGACGATGCACAGCAGCGGGAGATCGGAGAGCAAGGGCCCACTGCAGTGAAGCTTGAATCCGTGAATGAAACGATTGAGAGTGCGGAGTTCTGGGCGCAGCTGCAGACCCTGGAGCGGCTGTTTTCAGTAGTCCGGGAATTGTTCGAATGGTTGGAAGCTTGTCCGTGCCACTACAAGAGAAAGCCTCCGCCAGACAGGCCCGACGTCAAGAAACGATGGATGTCTTGCCCGCTGCGAGGTCGGCGGTTAGCGGAGATTTCTTGTGGAGGGTTCTTCGAGGTTGTGAACCGACTTTGTTTGGCAAATGCTGCTCAACTGTATGTTGATTTGCCGGAGAGTCTGCCTGAAGAGTGTCGTGCTGCTTGTCTTTTGGACTATGAGCACGGTCGAGGACACTTAACTTTTCAGCTGACATTGAAATTGTCATGTTTTCTGCAGCCACCACTTCTCCTGCTTGGACTAGGGCATCATGACTCAGAGAACCCAGACTCCCCGAGAGAAGTTATGCAACGCTGCTTGGGGTCCGAGTGCCAGCATCCACAAGTTCTCCAGCTGTCCGAGGGGTCTTTGCGAGAGGAGGCAGACCTATTCATCCAAGGGGAGGACCTTTCATTGCTTGAGAATTTGGAACTGTTTGTGGCAAGTTTTCGCTTTGCGTGGGGCACGGAGCGCAAGGTGGAGGGCGGGCATGCACAAGTGCACATGTATGCAGCTGGAAGACGCAATCGCACAGAGGCAACAGATTCCTTGGCACTTCGGCTAGGAGAAATCAAAAGGGTTCTAACGTCGGAGGATACGACTTCCTTCATCGAGTGCATTCAAGTTGCAAGGAACCCGCAGAAGCTGATAGCTCGTCTTGGTTTGTCAAGACACCCAGCCTGTGCACTTGCGAAACATGGATGGGACCGCATTTACCGAAAAGTTGTTTATCATGCAGATCCTTATTCTTTGTACAACCGTCAGCAGCCAGTGCTCTATATCTCGAAGGAGCCAGTGCGTGCCCACGACCGGCATGTGCCCCTGATGGACCGCAGGGAGTCTGAAGCAGACTTGGCGCCTGAACTGCTTGAGATACAACGTGTTCTGGCGTTGCGACATTTGAAGAAGCAGTTGGAAACTCTGTGCAAAGATGCTGAGCAGCGTGTGATGTGTTCCTGCCAGATTCCGGCAGTGGCGTTGAAACTGTTGCTTGAATGGCTGGCGCCTGCTAAGTATGCTCAGCGCCAGCCACCGGAAACCCCAGTCGACGCCGCTGCGCCACGACTTGAACAAACTTTGGTGTCTGCTGCTGCTCGTGACAGTGTTGAAGATGTCGTGTTCTTCCGAATTGTGAGCTGTGGCTTGTCCAGAGCCCATCTAGCAGCGCCTGGAGATTTCCAGTCGAATGATGTTGGAATTTTGTTGCTCAGGAATGATGGCCCAGGTGAGGCAGCTGAATCGTTCAAGATCGAAACCTCCGGAATGAAATTGCAGTCCGATGTTGTCAGAGCATGTGACCTTCAGGCTTTTCCCATGGTGTTGTCTTTGTCATCTTTGACATTGCCGCAACTACGCTCTTTCAAGATCTGGAAGGAGTCAACTGCTGATGTGCAGGTAAACAAAGATGAGGGCACTAGCCATGTTCTGGCAGTGGCACCTGCTCCTCTGATGACGGTGCGGGAGCAGCTGGAGCTAGCTGACTGTTCCATGTTTGAGCTGGTGGAGAAGCTCTGCAACGACGGATGGGAATGCATGGTGGCACGCACACCTGCCCTCCAGACCGGGTTGGCGAATATTATCTAGATCCTGAGTTTTATCTACGACCAACCCCTCAGGATGCTAAACTTTACCCGTAAACTCTTGGCGCTGGACCTCAGAGCCTGAAGTTCTGAAGGCCCAAAACGAAGGGAACTGAAAACCTAGGCCTCAATCTGCTTATAGTAGGTATACAGTTGTCCAAGACGTGTCAACCGGACCTATAAATAATACGTCAACATAAGCTATGCTGTTGAGGTATTACTTTACAGGTCCGATTGTCACGTCCTGGTTACACAGTAGTGTCCGGGGTTTTCACTTCAGCTTGATGTTAGATGCTGTGCTTGGCCCATTGCAAATCCTTTTAAAGAAATCCCGGCTAAGCCTTCCAATCCCGCCGGTTTTCTTGGTCTTCAAGATTTCCCTGCTCGCCACTGCCGCAGGACAGAAGCTTCCAATATGCCGTACCGTGTGGGTGAGCAGAAGCGTTGGTGGCTCTCGCTGGCAGATGTTTCGGATCCTCACAACACACGTCTGCGAGCCTATGTGAGGGCTCTTCTGACAGCTGACAATCATCACTGCGATGTAGCTCACTTTCAAACACTTGCTGATTATCTCCGGATTGTGGATCCTCATGAGCTAGCTGTTTTGGAAGACAAGCAGAGAAAGGCTCGCAAACGAAAGAGTGCTCACATGCAGGTCCTCATGGATATGGATGATTGGGATATCCTCGAGACTCAACCCAAGCCAAAAGCCAAGAGGTCTAGAAAGAAAGGGCCGGCTCCGAAGCGAGCCAGACGCAAGCAACCTCTTGCAGCCATTGAGTCACAAACGAATCCAGCTCTGGCGTTGGATGATGCCGCGCTTGCGGCAGGTGATGGCGATGACGTCGTTGATGGTGCCTTGCGTGCATCTGAGGTTGTCGAGGCGGCTGCCTTGGAAGATGATGGCTCCCAGGCTTCGGAAATTTCGTCAGATGAGCTTCTGCAGGAGCTTCGAGCTGTGATGGTGGAGGGTGACGGTGACGGTGAGCCAGTAAGAGCTGAGGGAGCGGCGGTCGATGTTGATGCCGCTGCCGGTGACTCCGATGACAAAGGTCCATCCGATTCATCCTCCAGCTCCAGCTCCAGTTCTTCCGATTCCGATTCAGGTTCTACCGGCTCTGACAGTGGTGGCAGTGGCAGTGGTGGCGAAAGGCCAGCTGCCAAAAGCAAAGCGGGCCGGAAGGGCCCGAAGCCGAAGGCTAAAGCCAAGGGCAAAGCCAAGCCTTCAGCCCGTTCAATTGTCGTTGCTGCAGGCTCACGTGACAAGTCCAATCGTGTGGAGTATGGGTTACACCATTTGGTTCCCCGGTTCAAGGATTCTGTTCTTGTTGGTTACCAAATGACATGCTGTGTTTCTGGGCACAACACGAGTGCCAAATGCACACGCGAGATGAGTGTGAGCGTTGCAGGGTCGGCAGAGGATTGCCGAAGGATACTCAAGGCGTGGGTCTTATTGGGTCATAGCTTGTCAACCAGGGAGGAACACATGGACAGATCGAGCCGCGATTCACTTCAAGAAGCTTTGAAGCAAGGAACGCTGCTGAGCGAAAAGGAACTGGACAGTATCTTAGCTATGTCGGAGGATTCGGAGATTGTGGCTCCCTTTTGCGAGCCAGACAAGAAAAGCAAAAAGAAAAAAAACTTGCTCGGAGGCGCAGGCAGTGTGCCCAGACACATCCACGAGGACATGGAGTCATTGGCTTCATCAGGCGGTGTTCCAATAACAACACTAGCACAGCGCCAGCGGAACAAACTGACGTCGTCAACCTCCTACGGTGTTCCGTCTTCGCTTCAAACTGCATTAACTCATGGGTACATTGGGCCAAATTTGCCCCCGCCACGTGGCTACTATTGGGCTTATCATGGCGGTTCTTGGATGTTGAAGATTCGTGGCGGCTGATTGCAATTTGTGGTTGGCAAGCCCATGCCGACGCAGAGCACTCCTCCAGTTTCTTGCATTTGATACAATGTAGTACTTGGGAAATTGGGAAACTGCAGGTCATGAGTCTTGCGCTTGCAGGTCGTAGGTATGAGTGCCTGTGAGATGTGTAGCCAGATGCAGATGCCAGCTTCCTCTGGTAGCTTTGTGTCGGAAGTCGGAACAGTCCGATTTGAGGCTTCGTCAGATCTTGCACTCCCTGGAGATTGGTCTCATGGCAGCTAGTCAGCAAGACTCTTGGGTTGAATGTGCAGAAACTGCTTGCGCCAGGCTGAGAACCGTTGTGATAGTTGGTGTTCAGTATTCGTTGTGATTGCTCAGCACAACTTTTCCAAGCTCACTTTTGTCGACTGCGTGTAACAAGCACGCGTATACACTGCACTCTGGCTGGATTCTTGGCTGTGTCCCTGCAGCTGCCCTCGAAGCAGATTCCCAACTCCGGTTTCTGTCCTCATGTTCTCATTTCTGTCTGCTACAGTGCTAAGCTGCTAAAGCTGAAGCTGGGTGTAGTCTGTCTATATTCTGTAGGTGTCAGTGACTGCTCCCGGTCCTCCTGCATGCCTGCGTGCTGCTCGGAAGTTCTGATGCTCAAGCTGAGGCCAGCGCTGCAGCCTGCAGCTCCTTTTCGAGCACCTCTGGCAGTGGCAACGATGCCAGCTCATGACTCACATGGATTCGGCTGCAGCAACTGCAAAAGTTGAAATATCGTGAAGCATCAGCTCTGAATGGCAGTTGCGCTTTTGAGTGTGTCAGCACCCGTTTGACAGAGCTTGAGAGACTGAGTGGGTGAGAGGCTGAGAGCTGTCCGTGACTCATGCAGACTGCAGACTTGCAAGTTCACTTTGAAGTTTGAAGGCTTCCGGCCTCCCCCGCCGACCCCATGCACTTGTCACATGACACATGTCTGTCTGTCGGTCTCTCTCTCTCTCTCTCTCTCTCTCTCGCTCTCCCTCTCTCCCTCTCTTGCCTTCTAGGTCTCCTTAGGCTCCTTCTCTCTCTGTCCTCTTCCGCTGCCTCTCCCTGTCTCGCTGTATGGCACTCTCTGTCTCTCTCTGTGTCTGTCTGTCCGTCCGTCTGTCTGTCTCTCTGTCTCTCTTTCGTTCGGGCATATCTTTCTCCATCTCTCTCTCTCTCTCTGTCTTTCTCGCTCCTTCCCTGTTTGAGGATGTCTTGTGCAAGTTGTGGCATGCGCAGAGAGGAACAAGTGAGCGTGAGTGTGAGTGAACCCAAGCGCAGAAACAAACACCGTTCATGCGTCGCTGAATCCTTGGCAAAGCCACTGCTGTCTTTGCGCAGCTGTTGCCAATGTGAACATTCCCACAACTGTCGCCAATCCCAATGACCCCCTCGGTGTTGATTTGGTTGGACCACCGACGGCTTTGCAGCTTTCGCTGCAACATCAAGTGCAGTAATCTACAGTGAGTGATGGCAATGTAGA